TTCCTCACCTGCCTCGCACCAATCACAGTACTGACGTAAAATATCCTCAGTGGTAGATTGATCATGAGTTAGAGTCCCCTTTCTGTCAAGCTAACCACGGAAGGCTTTCGTGGTTTTCTTCTCGATGTAACACAAATGCGGGTTAGTTCCATCAAAAAGTCCTCCACGCAGGCAAATTTTTTCAAATAAGCGGCTCCCCGTGTAGTAAATGGTGACTGATGCACGTTAAATCTGTCGAGTTGCAAAGTCCTCCATGTTCCCTTAACAAATCAATACCTCTGGGGGTACTGATCCAGGAGTTTCCTTGTCGTCTGGATTGGTTCAAAATTACAAGGCTACGGAGTTGAACAGTAGTAGTTGTAAAACCAAAATTGGGTCGGCTGTTCAGCGAAGGATATGAAATATGAAATAAAATGAAATAAGCTATCAAGGAGTTCTCGTCTTCTGGATTACGTTCAAAATTACAAGACTACGGATTTGAACATTGGATCTCGTAAACTTAAAATCGGATCGGTTGTTCAACGACGGTTATGAAATAAAATAACTGATTGCAAGAAAGCGTTTTGTTTCTGATTTATTGCAAACTAATACCTAAACAGAAAATATACAATGTAGAAACTTTTCGTGTATCTTAACTCCAAAAGTAGTGACCTCTAATTTACTCCCAAAGTAGTGCTCCACTAAATATTCCACTACACATATAGAGTTCTTTTACGCTCCTTGGTGTACCACTACTATTCTTTTTTTTTGTATCGGAAGCACTATAATTTATTATAACAATAAGACACGATGCACGTAGGCGTCAATAAAATTATTTTTGCGATTCAATATAAAGTCAGAATCATTAATTTAGAATTCATACGTACACTAATACTTAAAATAAAATTATTTTGCAAATCAATCAAATGCATAGCACAAAGAGAATAAAGACGAATTCGAAATAGGCTTAGCAGAACGAAAGCAGATAGAAATTATACATGACAAAATCACTTAGTATATTTCATAGAGATTTAAAAATAAAATATAATCATCCTTATTACACAACTAAAAACATGCATATCATTCTATGTTTTAATTGGTGCATAGCAGCGTAGAAGATTTCTGCTAATTCAAGCTAGATTGTATTCGAATGAAAACCATCTCCAGACGATGCTATCGGTTGTTGTTGTTGATTTACGTCGCACTAGAGCTGCACAATGGGCTATTGGCGACGGTCTGGGAAACATCCCTGAGGATGATCCGAAGACATGCCATCACAATTTTGATCCTCTGCAGAGGGGATGGCACCCCCGCTTCGGTAGCCCAACGACCTGCGCGCGAAGTCGAGCACTTTACGGTAGCACAGTTTAGCGAGGACCAATACCGCACACCCTCGGTCCCTACGCAGACTGATCCAAGTGGGTCACCCACCCGCACACTGACCGTAACCAGTGATGCTTGACTTCGGTGATCTGATGAGAACCGTGTCTTAACGATCAGTCCACTGCGGGACCGATGCTATCGGAAATGAAAATAATTCTAGTTTCGTGTGAATAGGCGTGAGTTTGGTGTAAGCTCATTCCATTATAAGTGTTTGTATGTAAATATAAACCTTTAAATTGTATATGAAAAACTGATTTCGTGTTAACCTGAAACAAAATGTTTCTTCACATAATTTTCAATATGGCCATCATAGTTATATTTAGAGAGATATTACACCACAGTTTTTACAGTGTAGTTACGTAATTTTATTTTATGGTTATATGGTTGTTTTTTAAATTATGGTTTAAAATCAAACCGATTACAGACTGTAAGAAATTTTTCGTAAAAGTGGTTAAATAACAATTAATTTAATTGTTTGTTTACCATGTTCAAATGAAACAGTCAAATAACCATAAATTCGATGGTGTTCAAACCTGTGAACTTTGATGAAAACCTTTTATTAATTCCTTTCATCTAATACGGTTACACAATCAGTTTATCGCATCAACTGGGCCCACCTAAGGAAGTCACATAGTTCCTTTGCAGCTTGGTATATATTATAGCCGAGAGGGCTAATCTGTTAATGTCATGACAGACAGAACTGAAGTTCGAGTCTCAAAATTTCACGCCACAAAATTTCTTCCGAATGAATTCGGAAGAAATGAATTCCGATGAAGAAATGAATTCCGAGTCAACATTCCCCAATTTGTGGCCTTGGACTATTAGAATACGATACTCTCACTTACGCATGACAGCACCATAAAGCTGCTAAAATATGTTCAGGTAAACTTATTTTTAACGCTTTTGAAACCATTCCAGCTGTAAATGGCTAAAAAAAACATATAGTTTTGCATTCATTATTTTTGTTTTACCAAACTAATTGTGAACGGTTTCAAAACCGTCAAGGTAAAAATTGTTCTTTACCGTGAACCTTACGGATGATTGGACAGACAGACTTCTGCCAGCTACTTTACCATAATTTTAAAATGAAAATTCTAACAGTGTATTTTAAACCTGCAAATGATAAACCGTAATTTAACTGGCACGCTGATAGAAAAAGATTCGTTAACCTTGGACTAGGAATATTTATGAGCATTTTCTCTTTTGTCTTTTATGAACAAGTTATATAGTCATAAGTTGATTAAAATCTCAATTTCCTCCTGAATAAAACGGCAATTTTTAATCGCAAACGAAGAACAATATTTTCAGTGAATGATATCTTTCATTTAAGTATTTTCATTTATGTCACGATATTTAGAAATATGTTTGAAAATCTTGCACAACTAAATTTTTTTAAAAATTATTTACAAAAAGTTTTTACCACAAAATGCTCATAAAATACTGTTAAAATCAAAACGAATAAATAATTGCTCAGACTTCGAAGCAAGAAAACTAAACATTTTTAACAAACACTATTCAGGCGCATTTTCGTAATGATTTTTAAACACTATGATGGAATTTTAAAAAAATTGTTTTGAATAAACTATTAGCAATAGTGTTTCATCAACAAATTTTATTCAGGGTATTATTTACTTGAAAATTTTCCATTCTGATTTTTAAAAAAATATCTATGATAGTCTCTTGTTTCATCTGTTAAAAAAATAATTTTCCAGTTTTTATTACGAGTTATTGAAATTTCTAAAAATTATTTCCATTTGTAATGTTTTGCGTTACAAAATACCCTGATTATAATTTAGTATGATTATATTTTATGAGCGTGATTATAATTTAGTAATTTTTAGATCTTTTTTATACTCCTTATCTATTACATATATATTAATTTTTTATATAGTTCTAGTTTAGAATTTAGAAACGTAACAAAAATTTCGTATTTGTAATAAAGATTTGTCTATTACTTCTTTAAAGAAATTATGCTAAAAGTTTTCAATGGACTTTTATTGCTCGTTCAATGAAGACTCAATTCAAACTTTTTTGTAAAATTTTATATTTCTGAAATTTATACTTCCTTAAACAAAGAGAAATAGATAAGATTTTTTGTCAAATAAGATTTTTTTAATGATTTTTTAATTTTTTTATTTTATTTAATAGTTATCTCAAAATTGTAAATTGTGGGGTATAACAATTTTTCCACAATGTAAACCTACCGAGAAGTTCTAATAAATTGTTTTAATAATTAAATTTTTTTTTACGTAAAAGTTTTAAATCTGAAATCCTAAACGTGAACTATATCATTTAAACAGCTATTAAAAAGAAAGCTATTTTCAATTTTTCATTCCTCAAAAACTATTTTGTTGGTCTCATTCAAATTTCTTAGGGGAGCATTTCTACTTAATTAATTTCGTACAAGGTAAAAATTATTAAAGGTCCCGATTCAAATCCTTTTTGCTAAATAATAAATAAAAAGATAATAGATAAGTATTGATAATTTTTATCTTTGTGAAAAGTGCGTAAAAGTTCACAAAAATTTTGTCTAGAGATATAATTTGAAAATTTAAAAAAATAATAAAATTTTTTATTAGGGTTCTAATTTTAGAATGTTTTTCTCTCTATTAGGACCTGATCTCTTCACTTACGACTACTTCCCCATATTTTAATGGCCAAAAATCGAAATTCTGGTATAATTGCTCATAAAAAAGTGTGGTGTTGAATCTAATTTAATAACTTCAACGACACTAATTAATTAGCGTATTTATGTTGTGCTAGTTCAACCTCTAAGTTTGTATCTAAACAGGTGATGGTCCAGTGTATAGTAATACGAATACAACAATTCAATATTTAGTAATCCGAATTCGATAATCCGATATGTGATGATAATCCAAATGCAATAATTTAATATATAATGAACCAAACTCCATAATCTTATGCATAAAATCATACAAATGCGTGGTACGTAATAATCCAAATGACAACTATAAACACAATGGATAAACAATGTTGTGGTTATAATTTTTTATTCCTTTTTTTAAAAATATTATACACAGTAATTTCAATATTTATGCTAGAGCCAATGTTGCTCAGGGGATAGAGCACTGGCATTGAGGTGACTCGGATTCACATCGCAAAGGTGGCTGGTCGATACGAATCCCGGCTTGTCCCGATCACAGTGCGTACGTGAAATATCCTCAGTGGTAGACGGATCATGGGTCAAAGTCAGGCTAACCATGGGATGTTTCCGTGGTTTTCTCTCCATGTAACACAAATGCATGATAATTCCATCTAAAAATTCATTCCATCAAATGTGTCCTAATACTTAATTCAGGAGTTCCCTTGTCTTCCGGATTGGATTCAACAAGGTTACGGAGTTGAACATTGGTAGAAGTAAACTCAAAATAGGGTCAGCTGTTCAATGATGGTTATAAAATAAAAATAAAATTTTTTTTTTCCTGTCTGTACACATTTTCTGTTCCAGTTCATTTATTTTCTCATCTCTAAATTTTCGGTCACAGGGTTGACTTTTAGAATTTATATGAATTTTCCCCATGAAGATTTATTTTATAATTAAACTTTGAATTAAAAATAATTATTTCCAGCTCTATTACGCTGTAACTTTATTGAATTCATTATCTCTTATTTTGTAGGGTCGTCGGATAGAAGATGAAAGTCGTTTTGTAGAAGATGATGAAGATCATTTCTTAGATGTTGATAGTGATGATGGACACGATGATGAAGAACCATTGCCACCTCTGGCACTGCCACTTCAAAACGGTACTGTTTCTTTGCACGCTTAAAATTATTAAATTCTATGCTATAAGTGAATAATACTCTTCCGAAAATGTTTTAAAATAAAATAATTTAAGGAGACAAAGGACTTTCAAATTTTTTTAAAAAAATTATCAAGGGATTTGTCTGAAATTCTCAGTATACATTTATATTGCCAAAAACAACTTATATACAATATTTAAAAAAGAATAGTTTAAAATTTAAGAGCTTAAAAAAATTGAAATTTCGAATTTTTATTGTTTTTTTATATTATTCCTCACCTCTGAAACTTTGTTAAAATGACAAAATTCTTTTAAAATATTATATATAAGATAACATAAAAAAATTGTTGGGGGAGTTTTTTTTTAGTTTTTTATTATTGAAAGAAATAAAAGTAAAACAGCAGTAAAAAACCAGCATTTCTGGAAAAAAATCATCATACCGCTATAAAATATGATGTATAAAAATTATACTATTTACTTAATTCAAGAAACTTTCCCAACAAAATGTTAATAATATTCATGAATATATAGCATCAAATTTTCAGGACAATAGAATGAAAGTTCATTTCTCTGAAACAATTTGTAAATTTGTCAAAAAGAATTTGTAAATTTGTCATTTTGAGAAAGATGACTTTTACAACTTTTTCATTGCAGGGCGTCAAAGGGGCGTGGTCAAAACAGAAATGGCCATAACTTCGTCAATTTGCTCTAATTCAAGATTTTTTTTTTAATGTTCAGTTTAATGCTTAGATTTCAAAAATATAAAAAGTTTAAAAATAATCAAAAATCGATTTATTAATCGATTTTTTTTTTTGACAAATTTTTGCCTATTTGATAGTTCCTTGTCACCTTAAGCAAAAATATACTGAATAGCATAACAAAATTTTTAAAACAAATTATAAAACTCCTATCATTCTCACATGACTCAGTTCCGAATTAAAAATAGAAACTGACTTCTTACTAAACTAAATGAATATTTTAAATTACAACCGTTGTTAAACAGTCTACCAGCATAACGGACGCGAGACATTATACTATACTTCTATATTAATTTTCGGAAAATTATGATATCTATAGAATTTACATAGAGTTGTTGGAACAAGCATTAGTGTGCTTACGATAGGATACTTGCAAGCGACCTCATGCGGGATTCTGCTAATCAGGTTTGAAACGTGACGTCACTTTAAGGCACCCAATTACATCAGATCCGAAAGCTCATTCAGCTTAATAATAAATACAAGCTTTTAAGTTAAAACTTCAAAGCGCCACGCGCAACCACGTGATTAGAAGCAACCATGTGGTTAATTGCGAGTACATAGCATTTCTATCAACATCTTGTGGCAGTTCTTGGTTTTGTGTAACAACTAAAATTAAATTTCTAAAATAAAATTATTATGTTAGGACCCTATTTCAGACAATTACTTGCAATATTTCCATTGTAATAAAATGTTTTCAATATGAAATTTTTTAAAAAAAAGACATTTTTTGGAGAAGAGATTAGGAGACTTTAGAAGATGACAATTCAGGAAAAATACACTTGACAAAACAAGATTTCAATGACAAAAGCTGTGAATAAGCTTTTAGTGAATTTAATCATAACCATTTAAGGTATGTATTCCAATTATTAAACCAATAAACAAAACAAAGCGAAAGAATAATAAATATTTTGAGGATCATTAAAAGTCTTCCATAAGCTTCTGAATTCAAAAAACTTTATAATATTTTTTATAAACTAACAACAAAATATAAGCTGCTCGGGCTTTGTTTCATCCATTTTGTATATCTTCCTCAGTTCCTCCTTCGTTGTTAGTTATACTGTACTGTCTATGGCTATATACCAAGTTTATAGTCAAAACATAAAGATACTACTGTTATAGATGAAACTAAAACTTTTAAATATCGGAGTCTCCCAAATGTAATTAATTGCAATTAATGCTTAGATGTAGTATCAGAAGGGGAAAAGGGGACACTCTGATTAACTTTTCTTCAAATAAACGGATTTTTATACACTAGGACTCAATCTTAGTGAATCCATTGCTATTAGTTAGTGCAAACGAAGTTTTAAGTTACGAAATAGCACACAAAAACGCACTTCCTTTGAATAATTATTTATTGTTTTCCCCGGGTTTGGATTCCTGCCCCTTAAAATATTGTGCGTAGCTGAAATCTGGAAATTATGGTAAAAGTTCGTCTTCACTAATTAATTAGCATATTTAAGCATAGGCCTTTAGGCCATTAAGATTCAGCTCTAGGAAATGAAATTTGAAAATTAAATCAAAAGTTAGTTAAGGTGTTTGCTTTTTTATATATTACGTGCTGTACATACGGTGAATTAAAAACATTGGAACCTTAACAAAAATGAACTCTTATAAGATAAACAATTACCATTTTTAACTTCTGCTCTTTCTGAAGTGTTTGTATTATATGAGAAATTCACTTTAAAATTTCAAAAATAAAAACATTTAAGTACAAATTTAAGAAGGAAACAATTCATCATTTTATGCTTCCTAGATAAGAAAATAAAAAAAGAAATACATCTTTGTTGGAAGAAAGCTTCTTAGTAAAATAAGTAGAAAAATTATCCAGTCGTTCAGATCCTACCTCATTTATTAAGATTTAATAACCGCCATTTTTATTCACTCCGAAAATTTTTTTTATAATTCATTTAAAGAAATCAAACATTAATCAAAATCCAAATGTAATAGCTTTGTAATCTAAATTAATTTAAAAGACAAGATTAAAGGAAATAGCAGGAAAAAAAAACTTGCTCAGACATTCATACACTATAAAAATAAATACAAATCCTTTCTTCTCGAACGAAAAAAAAAAGAAAAAAATGAAAATTTAAAACGTAAACTTTTCTACCGGTATTATTTCCGGCGAATGAACAAAGGGTTCTAGTGCTAATTAATATTCATAAGACTGTGTTTTGGAAAAATACTTCAAAAGTGATTTTTTTTCTTGCTAAAACCATTTATAAAAATTTCGATTGGCACTATACTCTTTACATGCTCATTAGCAAAACCTCTTCAGAATCTTGAAAAGGGGTCGAAAAAATATTCTTTTCTTAAGAATCTTAAAACAAAAGGCTGGCTCATTAGCGCTATGTAGTTAATAGATCGTTTAAAATCAAATAATATAGCTGTATATTCGGGACACGTTTAAGGATACCACTTCTTTTAATGGACGCACTTACACTGGATGGGTTTGAGAGAGTATACTTTCTTCTTTTTTTTAATTCGAAGATTTTTTTTTTCATTCTACACCATCAACACATCACTTTGTTTTGAAATAATCATTTGATTTAGAACTTTAAAAAAAAAGAGAGATTAAAAGACCTAAGAGAATGCTATCACCAAAATGTCTAAAGATTAGATGTTCTTTTTGTTGCTCCATTTTTTTTATGAATAAAGAATCTTTTGCTATGCGGAATTAAATGTTGCAAACTGTCTCACGGGATATTGTTTTTAATGTGTTTTTTAAGGAGTTATTCTAATCATTAAAAAGTAAGTACATTTAATTTGCTTTTTATATAAAAATTAAAATGACGTTTTTTTTTTATAAAAAGAAACGGCTTCGTGTATTCTGCCAAACGAAAAAAAAATAAGCAGTAAAAAATTAACCCGTGGGCTTAAAAAGAAACTTCAGCATTTTCAAAAAAAAAAAAATGTATCGTCGAATTAAAAACGCACTTAAAATAAATAGCTCTAAGGCATAATCTGTTATGGTTATCTTAAATTCTGATGACTTAGTAGAAATGATAATAAGTTCAAGTTAACAACCAATAAATTTCTTCCGAAAAATACTTTGAAGAAAAATATTACTTTAATTGAAAGGCATTAAGAAAAAAGTAAGTTTTGTTTTTTATTTATTATCTTCTACAGGCAGTTTTTAAGTTGATAGTTTTTACGCTTGCATGTAGAATGTATTCAGTGTGCTAGGTAAAAAATAAGCTTATTTTAAAGATTTTTTTTCAATGCTTTAAGGAATACATTAGCAGGATGGAGTATTTTTACTCGCTGTGTTACAACATTTCGGTAAATGTTGGGTGACGATTAAAGCTTTTTATAGAGATTGCATACAGAATTAATGCTGGACGACAAAAAAGAACTTGTAAGTTTACAATATCAGTTTTAATGGTTTAAAATACGAAATAAAGTGCTAAACTTTCAAATAATTATATTAACATTACCGAATTGTAAGCTTATAATGAAATTTTCTGTTGTGGGTCGTGAAAGAGTCATAAAACAACAGGCTAGCATAAGTAATAATATTATTTTTATAAGAATAATTCGCGATCGCAACGCTCGAGTACGCCGTCTAGCGGGAGCCTGTAAATATCGGACATTAATTTATCACGTTTTCATTTAGTTCCATCAAAGTCATTGACTGAATCAGACGCCATTTTTTAGCAGCAAATAAGAAACAAAATTTCCCTAAGGAAAAGGCCGAAGAACTTGAAAAAAATCTCCAGAATATTAGTAAATCTTTCAGGAACAGAACACGCCAAACATTTGAAGAAAAATTCCTCAATAATTTTTAATTTCTATTATCAACAAACTTGCAACTGATGACTTCCGATTTCGGATACTGTTACAGATGTGTGTATTAAGGTAAAATGCATTTCTTCTGTCTTCAATTCATTACGAATTAAAGTGAAGTCAACATTGCTTTCGTCATTCCAGTGAATAAATATGAATTCAGAACATACAGAATTGTAATAGTTATAGCATATTCTTCTTCGTTATAGAATAGTATATATTTCTGTATCCATATAATTCGGAAAACAACAATAAAAAATTATCCAAGTTACTTGAAATAGTGCCATTTGTGCTGATTCTTAATTAATTTTAATCGTTTTCTTGGTAAGTATTTTTTAGTTTTGAAAGAATAAGTTCAACTAGAATTCAGCTATTCTGTTTTTAGCTACATATTCAAATTCATATCAATTATAAAATTTTGCTGTGTAGTATGTTATCTAAAAGTAATGAAGGTATAAACTAT